ACAATCTATGAAGAGAAAACAACAACATATATATGACCTCCTCAGAGAGGCTCAGACTACCTAAAGTAACCCCCCCTACTCTCAACACATGTCTTGAAAATCCTAGGACTATGTGGGAATGTATTAAGTGTCCTCTCCCTGGTCTGACTTGCCCCCAGCTTTTTCCAATCTCCAGTCAGGCCCCCAGAAAGCTACAGCAGGTGTCCAGTGCCAGGAGTTTCTGTAGTGTGTATTTTGCAGATGGGGAAACTGAGACACAGGCTGGAAAGTGGAAAGCTGGGATTTGAATCTAAGCCCACCTGTCTCCAGAGCCTGACACCCTACGCACCCTCCCCCGAGTCGCTCCCCTTCCAAGCCAAGCCTCTCAGGAGGTACCCAGGATGCCTGTCATCCTTTCACAAACATTTATTGGGTGCGGACTGTGTGCCAGGTGCTGGCTATATACTGGGGGGCCAGCAGGGTACTGACTACCACAGGATTCCCACCACATCCAGAACCTCAGCTCTATGAGGATGGGAGTGGAGATGGCAAACAACATATATTTTATTAATTTGTTTCATGATGTCAGGTAGTAGAGAGAAAAATAAGGAAGGAAAAAGGACCAGGAGTTGATCAGTAAGGGCTGCAATTTTAAACAGGAAGGCCGCTCTGACAAGATATTTGAACGAAAGAGGCGAGGAAGGAAGCCACGGGGACAGAACATTCTAGGCAGCTAGAACAGCTTGTGCAAAGGCCCTGAGTGATGGGGCTGGAACAGAGGAGAGAAGGGGAAGAGGCGAGGTGAGGGTAGGGAAGTGACAGCCAATATCTAACCAATATCTCAGATGGAGAAATGAGACTCAGAGGCGGACATCTCGAGAGCTTGTCCTGCCTGCTCTCTCCTGTCACTCAAGCTCCCTGTACCCTGCCATCTCAATAGTTTAGCCTGACCTCCTTGCCCCAACTGTGGTCCTATGGCACCTGCCAGGATCACTGCCATGGCTGAGCCAGGACCCGAGGGAGCTGCTCTTAGGTGCACCCATCCCCATTTTGGAGGGTGATGGGGTGGTGGAGGGAATAGTCCCAACCATGGTGTGTCTTGGCTCCGATTAAGGTTCCAGGGTCCATGTGTCCAAAGCCTCTGAAGCCAGAGGGGTTTGGGGAATATCTGGGTGAGGGGTGGGAGTGTGGAGGGTCACCAGGCCCAGATGACCAGGCCTTTCATAGGGTCTGTGTGTGAGTGTGGGTTGAGGGGGGAGGGGTGTCCTTTCCTCAACCTGGAAAGGGAGTGACCATGGGCTTGGTCTGAAGGCGCAGTCAGACCCCTGCCTGCCATCCTTGTGTCCCTGAGGGCTCCTATCACCTTTTTGAGAGCATCCTACCTTAACACCCAGCTCTGAGCCCTGTACAACCCGCCTGGCCTGCAGGCCAGCCACCAGTGCCGGCGCCCCAGCCCCCCACATCCCCCATCATTACCCTCCCCTGGCTACTTTCCTCCACTCCCTCTAGCCCCGCCAGGGTCTCCCAGGTCAGCTGAGGCCCACAAGTGCAGGGAGAAGGGGGTGGGCTTCCCTCTGGTCAGTCCCCTCAGCCTTCAGGGTTCCAGGACTTCAGAGCAGAATGACCAGTGCACACAAGGGGCAAAGTACCGAAGCAATACCCCCTCCCTGCAAACCGCAAAGCAGTCCTGGAGCAAGGACACTCCAGGGTCTGCTGTTGCACCCGAGAGCCTGTCTCTTCATCTGCTCCACTCTCCCCCTTGCTCACTCTGCTCCGGCCACACCAGCCCCCTCACTACCTCTAACATGCCAGGCCTGGTCCTGCCTCAGAACCTCTGAACATGCTGGTCCCTCTGCCTGAATGCTCTTCCTTCAGATGCCCACCCATTCCCAATCTGACTGGCTCCTTCTCATCCTTCAGGTCTCTTATCACCTTCCTGCTTCTGTCCTCCCAGAACATCAGTTCCTTGGGAGGGGGGAGATTTTACTTTGTTCACTACTACTCTCCACTGTCTCCCAGTGCAGGGACTTTCGAAGTATAGGCTGAATGAAGGTGGAAGGGAGATAAAGCCAGGCATGGCTGGCAGGGGACCCGTACTCAGATACACATACTAGGACTTGGGCCAAAATATGGTTTTGAAAGCCCAGGAGGGCGGGGAGAAAGCCAAACTCCTGCTGGTTCAGTGTGGGGAACTGGTGCGAGGGCATCATATAACAAGGGTATAAAATCAAGATAGGGAGGAGCAAGGCCTCCTCTTTGCCACTGCGGTCAGAGACAGATTGGGTCTGAGGTGCAGATTCAGGTGCAGCTTCAGGGGTGGCAATAAAAGGCCCATTCTGAAAGGCTTGCGGGGGAGGGGGGGTGTAGAAAAGGCAAACAAGGGAGTAAGACCCTGCCAAGGGAGGGATTAGAAGCAGGGGATTGAGAAACATGGCTTCGTCCTTTAAAAAAAATTTTTTTTAGTGATTTCAGAGAGAGGAAGGGAGAGAGAGAAACAGCAATGATGAAATCACTAATCGGCTGCCTCCCACACGCCCCCACTGGATCCAGCCAGAAAACCCGGTAGGTGCCCTAAAGGGGAATCCAACTGTGACCTCCTACTCAATGCTAACCACTGAGCCACACCGGCGGGCTTGTTCTCCTTTCTGAAGCCCTTGCTCCTTCGGCTTTATTTTTTAAATATATTTTTATTGATTTCAGAGAAGAAGGGAGAGGGAGAGAGATAGAAACATCAATGATGAGAGAGAATCATTGATTGGCTGCCTGCTGAAGGCCCCTACTGGGGATCGAGCCCACACCCCGGGCATGTGCCCACAGGCTGACGCTCTATCCACTGAGCCAAACCAGAGAGGGCTCCTTTGGCTTCTGACTTGTCACCCACTCCTGGTTTCCTTCTGCCCTCTCTCCAAACTCCACCCCCCACCCAAGGTGGGTATGTGTCCAAAGCTCCAGGCTTGCTTCTCCAAAGCCTGCCCTGCACCCAGCCGCACCTCACCTCCACCTGGACCTCCAGTAGCACCACAGAAACAGACTGCTAACTTGTACCTGAACCTGCTTCCCACGCAGCAGCTTCTGCATCCTATCCAACTGCAAATCTGCCCTGGACCCACCCACTTACTTCTCACACAGCCAGGCTTCCACCTGGTCCAGCTCCATCATGATCTGGACCAGCGCAGCGTGCCTGCCTCCATGCTGGCTCCTGCAGGCAGCAACTCCCATGTACCCTGCAGTTCCTCCCCTCCACATCTTAGCTCACTGGTCTCTGCCCATTAACTCTTCTTTTTTTCTCTCTCTCTTCCCATTAACTCTTAATCATCCTTACTAATGAGTCCAACAGCCACCTCCTCCAAGAAGTCTTTCCTGACCCCTCCCCAGGCTGAATCAGCTCACTCCTCCGGTCCCCTACCCCCAGGCATTCTATTTTATCAGATGCTTATGGCCTATGAGCTGGACAATGTGCTCACCTCTGAAGTGATGATGATTATTATTCCCATTTTGCAAGGAAGAAACTGAAGCACAAAGGAAGTGAAGTCACTAGCCTGAGGGCATTGACCTCAAACTGGCAGGACCTGGTCTGTGGCAACTTCCAGACAACCACAGCAGGAAAGGGGACAGCCTGCAGTGCCTGGATAAGAGAGAACCTTGCCTCGCCACCCCCATGCCTGCTTTCCTGTGGGTGTCCCAGGGGTAGTGGGAGGTGGGAGGAGTGAACCAAGGCCTGCTCCCCCACCCCCCCACCCCCACCAACTACAGTCATCCTAGCGGCTCCTGTGCCAGTGTTCACTCCATGCCAAGGCACTGGGCCAACTAAACACTTTGCATGCCTGACTCAATCTGCAAATGGCCCTGGGTCTGGAGATGGGTGCAGTTACGAACTCCCATTCCCATTTCTCAGAACAAGTAATGGAGGCTCATAGGGCTGTGAATTCCCACTGGCACTGGAGTCTTCCCCATCTCACCCTAGTCATGAGGCTGCCACTGGGATGGCCAAGCCCTTTCCTAACCAAGGCTTCCTTTGACCTCCGACACTCCCGGGGATAGGAACTGCTGACCCATTTTGCAGATGGGCAAACTGAAGCTCAGAAACTTTCCCTGGGGCCAAAAGGCCAGTTCAAGGACCAAGGCTCCCAGCTTATTTTCACTGCCTCTTCCCTCTCCTCTAAGATGTCTTTGCTGGGAGCTAGGAGGGCAGGCAAGGAAGGTCCTGAGAGCATCCTCCCTGCGGTCCGGCCAGGCCTGTGGGACCCAGGTGTGCTGAGTGAGGCTTAGGCACTCACTGGTTTATTCACAGCAGCTGCTCTTGGAAGGGGACTGAGTTGAGATGGGGATGCGAGGAGCTTCAAAGACAGCCCCATCCTCCAGAATTTCTAACTCAGATGGCCCCATGCAACAGATCCAGGCCGCCTCCATGGGGCCAGCTGGGGCTCCCCCATCAGGTGGCATTCTCATAGGTTTTGCAAATCAGCCTTGGCCAAAACAGGCCCCTCCTCCACCCGCCACACACGTTTTTCCCTCAGTTTCCCTATCCCAGCCATGAAAGGCCCCTCCACACTCCCAGCTGCCGAAGCCAGCAATCTCCTCTGGGCACTTTCCCTCATGCCCCACTTCTGAGCAGGGAGGAGATAATGATGTTCTGACAAAATTAACCCCCAATTCACCTAGTTTCCACCACCCCTGCCAGTCCGGCCGCAAGCAGCAGCCTCCTCCCCTCTGTTCTGCCCACAGCAGCTGCTGGATCTTCTTAAGACACCGCACCCACTTTGTTCTAAGCCTTCTGGGGACCTCACAGGCTTGAAAATGGAAACCACACACTCCTGCCACCCATCTTCGAGGCCCGGGCCAACCTCTCTCACTTCCAATCCCCACGCTTCGGCCACGCTGGCTCTGTTCCGCTCTGCAGACACACCAGGCTGGGCCCTACCTCAGAATCTTAACGTTTCCTGGGCCTAAAAACCCCTCGTGGCTGGTTACGCCGGCCCGGACGGTACCTGCTCCGAGAAGCCCTCCCTGACTCGACTTACCCCATCGCCCTGATGCGTAGTCTTCCCCGCACTCAGCAGGGGCTAGAACGGTCGGTTTCTGTTTACGCGGCTCCTAGCAGCCTCTGCGGCCCCGGCTGCACCCCCAACTCGGGCACGTCGGGGGCACCCGGGAGTCGCTCCG